CCAAGCACATTTTCATACGACAGCACATTTTAACAGAAGTAGTAAAAATATATCTGCTTTTTTGCAGTGGACTGTTGTAATATCACTGGTTATATATATGTGACGTCATTAAATAAATGTATACGCAACAAATCTTCAAACAGACTCTCATGGAACGATGCGAAGGAAGATTGTGGAAAGGAAGGGAGTCATTTCATCAACGCGACCATATATGCGGTGCTCGATTTCATTGAAGACTTTCTAGAACAATGTTGGTGTTCTTTTTATTTTTATAAATACTTGCTAATTTGAACGATGGTTTCAGTTTTAAATGTTCCATTTTTCTTCTTAATGGAATAAATAAGTAAAACTTCTTTCCATTTTTTCGGGTCTGCTAACTTATTAACTAGTATTTTAAAAACATTACAAACATAAACGTACTTCTTAAAAGATATCAAATGGCATATTAAAAAACAAGAAGAAGAAAAACACTGAAATGACATTTATCTTCTACTGGAAAAAAACAACATTCATTTGAATCTTTGTTATCTAAAATAGTCAAAAGTTATAGTCATTTGTTTACAACTTTAAAACAATGGTTTACAGCTCTGTAAAAGTGATTGTCCATTGATATCTTCACGTAAATGCCGGGGTTTTTTTGTTGTGTCTGTTCTTCATCTTCTTCTTTTTCTTCTTCTTCATCGTCATCATCTTCTTTCGTATACATACGATACCAAATACTGGATAGCCGGTAAACAGTCGGTAGTTGGTTCAAATAAATTTGAATGGTTGTCAGGGTAAACAATAGATGTGTCAATTGGAGGAAACCTCTGGCTATAAGGACGACCAGCGGTGGACAGTCCAACTGATAATTATTGTATTGAAACAAAAACTTCAGGTGATGGAAAGTCTTTCGGATTATTTGACAGGCAATGTAATTACAGACATAGGTTTTTCTGCGAAGTGGACATTCTTTAAAAGCGATTATGATATGAGTTTATTTCTAAATAATTGCATGTTAAAAAGATATTTTTCTTTTCTCCCTCACTTACGTTCGTCCGAAAATAAAACAATTATTTGCTATACTTGACAAGGAAAAACAAAGACAGTATCGAGTTAGAAGGCGGTTTGCTACTTTTCGAATGCAAAGATGAGAAAACTACAAGCCTAGACTTTTAGTAACGGAAAGTTCATTCTCATGACTAATGAATATAACCGTCGGCAGAAGAAGGAGATTTCCAACGACCGTGCTTATTAACTAATCTAGCATCTAAATTCGCGTCGCTGTTTGCCGCAGCAGACGCTCCGCCGCTACGCAAACTATGTAAGCCGAAATTCGAACCGTCTTCCCCAATTTTATTTAAAGCCTCTATAAGAATTTCACGTGCTCTAGTATACGACAGAGGTGAACCGGTATCGCAAAGGACGTATTTATCTTTACTTTTCAGAAAGCGGACCTTTGAAAACAAATATTCGCCCGAAGCCAAAGTGAGATTAGCTGCTTTAATATATTTCAATAACCACGTCACCGGACATAATGCAGTATTGGTTCTAACTATATTTATCAGGTGCAAATCCAAATACAATGTGGGAAATAATGAAAGGAAATATTAGAAACGAAACTATTAAGTTTGCAAGTAAAACCAAACAAGATGATGAAAAAAGGGAAAAAGAAATAAATTTAAAATTAATTAACTTAGAACAGACATTCAGTTCTTGTTCCCTAAACAATGATATTGATAAAATAAAGTAAGAAATAGAAAAAAATAAAGAAGAGTTAAACGAAATCTACGATAAGAAGATAAATGGAATAATATTAAGATCAAAAGCGTTAAATGTTGAATATAATGAGAAAAATAGTAAATTGTTTGCAAATTTAGAAAAAAGAAACTCTGAAAAAAAGGTTATGATTCAAATAGAAGTTAGTGGCCGAATAATCTCAAAACAAAATGAAATAATAAAAGAGCAGAAGCGCTTCTATAAAAATCTTTATAAAGAGGTTGAACAAAAAACAACTAAATTTAATTTTATGGATCCAACTATACCAAAAGTAAGTGATATAGAACGGACATCTCTAGATAGCGAACTTACTGAACTCGAATTTACAACAGCTCTATAAAGTATGAATAATAATAAAAGTCCTGGATCAGATGGATTAACAACAGAATTTTATAAAATCCTTTGGAATGATATAAAATATTACTACATTAACTCTATTGAACATTCGTTTGAAATTAAAAATTTGACTGAACTTCAGAAACAAAGTATCATCACTCTGTTACCAAAAACAAACAAAGATACTCTTTTGTTAGAAAACTGGCGTCCAATTAGTCTTTTAAATATTGATTATAAAATAATAGCAAAAGTTATAGCAAATAGAATGAAAAACGTTTTACCTCTAATCATAAGTCAAAATCAATCCGGGTTCATTAAAGATAGATACATTGGAGAAAATATACGGACGATATTTGAAGTATTAGAACAAATGGAAAAAAGGACCAAGATGCACTTTTATTTTTTACAGACTTTGAAAAGGCCTTTGATAGTATCAACCATAACTTTATTTTTCAAGTTTTGGAATTTTTTAATTTTGGCAATACAATAATCCAATGGATAAAACTTTTATACAATGACCCACAAAGCTGTATTATCAATAACGGACACATGTCAGATTTCTTTAAAATACATAGAGGTGTACGTCAAGGATGTCCACTTTCTCCATATATATTTATTGTATGCATCGAACTCCTTCAAACTGTATATGTAAACATGAAAAAATAAAAGGGATAAACATAAATGGAATCGAGATTAAAAATGTGTTATTTGCGGATGATGCAACCTTTGTAACTGATGGGTCAAAAGAATCTTTCGAAACATTAATTGCAATACTCGATGATTTCAATAAAATATCAGGCCTAAAATTAAATGAAAAGAAATGTAATGTATTAAAAGTAGGCTCATTAAGAAACTCCGAAACTAAATATTGCCGAAATCGAAATTTCCAATGGACTTCTGACAATGCAAAATCTTTAGGTATGACATTTTGTACAAACTCTACTTTAACTCTCCAAAAGAATTTAGAACCTAAAATTGATGCTTTTAAAAACTTTTTAAAACAATGGCAACACCGAAAACTTACACTTCTTGGAAAAGTTACTGTCATCAAATCTTTTGCTTTACCAAAACTGATCTATGCTTTATCTGTATTACCTTTACCTAGCTTGAAAATTATAAAAACTTTAGAAAAATGTATGTTTGATTTCATTTGGGATAATAAACCAGAAAAAATAAAAAGGGATACATTGAAGAAAAAGTATGAAAATGGGGGAATAAAAATGATTGATTTGAGAAAATATATATTATCAATAAAAGCGACCTGGGTGAAAAAAATTATAAATGATGACTCAACATTTTTAATAAAATCTATATACTTATCTCAATTAGACAGATACGGAGGCAAGTTACTTTTTGAATGTGAAATAAATGACAAATTTATACAAAGCAAATTTAAAAGTTATCCATTTTTAAGAGATATAATTTCATCCTGGAACCAAATAAAAGTTTTACCAAAATGTAACAACCCAAATAAACAAATAATTTGGAATAATATGAAAATAACATCAAATGAAAAATCTTTCTTCTATTAGTCTTGGTATGAAAAGGGTATTGTGTATTTAGAACATCTGTTTGACTTTAGAATTAATCAATTTTACACTTTTGAAAATTTTAAAACAATTTATCAAATCCCTGATGCAGATTACCTCAAATATCAGACTTTATTAAGAAATATACATCATGACGTCATTACAGGTATCAATCTAGACAACGTCAATATCAATACCCCAAATAGATATATTTTAGCGTCATTTATTAAAACAAATGAAACCAATAAATTTCTATATGAACATCAGTTAAAACGAGATAACATTATCAAAAATACTGCAGAAAATAAGTGGGAAAATATATTTGAAAACGAAAATATATGTTGGGAAAAAACATACAAAAACATTCTATCAACAACGATTGACACTAAGTTTAGAAATTTTCAATATAAATATCTACACAGAATAATTGCTACAAACAAAAGTCTTCTAAAACAAAACATTTCTTCCTCGAGTCTTTGTGATTTTTGTGCAATGGATATTGAATCTATTGAACACCTCTTTTGGCAATGTTCTTACACGCAACTCTTTTGGAGGGATTTAATAGAATATTTCAAAAAAAGGAATATTATTATAGAAATTAATTTGAAAACAATATCTCACTTAATTACAAGCACAGATACACAAAAAGATGCAAAAAACTTTATTCTTTTGGTGGCAAAATACTACATATATAGTTGCAAAATTGGAAAACGCACACCACAATTTAACTTATTTTTACATTATTTTCGGAGCAGACTATGTATTGAAAAATGTATTGCATTTAATCGAGATAAACTGGAAACTCATTTTCAAAAATGGAATGGAATTTTCCCAGATACGAATATAATAACATATGAAAATACCTTACTTACATGAATAAAAAACAATTATGTTTAGAAGCAGTCAAACACTGTAGATGTATCTTCTGTTTTTTTTCTTTCTTGTTCTTTTGTATTTAATTTTTCACCCCCTTTACTTTCCCTTTTTTTTTGGTTAAAATATTAGGTTACACTATTACGAGTATCGTATTGCCGATGGTACCCGAAATGTATGTGTGCTGTTTTGTGTGTGCTGTTTTGTGTGTGCGTTATGTTCGAAATATGTATAGTTACAAATCCTGTTGGTATCTATGAATTGGAAATGTGGGTGTATGGGTGCGGATGTGTGTGCGTGCGTGTGTTTGGGTGTGAAAAAAAAAACAACTCTTTGTGACCATGCTTTTGTATTATCTGGACAGAAGTTTATTATATGTTATGTACACTGTATTACTGTATGATCACTGAGAAAAAAAAATAATAAAAAAAAACTATATTTATAAAAGTACCATGTTTAAACTGATCAGTTTTACTTTTTCTTATTCTAATAGAAACATGATCATCATTAAAGTGTATGTCTGACATTTGAATCAATGAAATTTCACTGTAACGTAAAAATCCTGAAAATCCAAGAATACAAATCAAACACAATCTTAATTTTTTTTAAATTCATAACATCATTTACAGAGTACACATCGATAATTCTTTGTAAAATGTCAATGTTAATCGGTTGATTTTTCTTTGATTGACACGAGAGTTCCTTCCTACAACCATCGTACGTCAGCTTCACAAGTCTGTGGTCACATGGGTTATCAAACAAATGGAACTCGTGTTTCCATTTAATAGCATAGAAATAAGAATCTAGAACAGCACTACTAACTTTCTTAGAGAATAAATCACTAAAGAAAATACACACTGTAGATACATTGGCTGGTAACGATTCAAGAGAATGACACTTACACCACTCTGTAAACTTCACAAAATATTGATCATACTTTTTGTTTGTGTTCTTGGATTTTGAGGATCGCACTATGTCCGGTAACTGGTGAACGGCTGCACATAAACAAGGATTACAGGCAAAGTCCAATACATCACTCCAAACCCCGTTGCGAGGAAACTGCAACAATAACAATTATTAATATAGACACATGCAAAAACTTAATAATAATGGGGTGATATTACACATTTTCACTGTCTTGTATTAAAACAATCTAATAATAAACAATCAAAGATTGTTCCTCCCTGGTCACTGGAGCAGGGGCTTCATAAACAACTTCAACAAAAACAAATACGATAATCAAGGATTATCCTTCCCTGGTCACTGGAGCAGGGGCTTCGAACATTTAATAACGTAAAATGTATTATACATGTAGTATTTACACTGTAAATTCGTATATCCTTACAAGTAATCAAGTCACTGTATAAATATAAGTCACTATCTTCTTACAATAAAGTCACTATAAAATCACTATCTCTTTACAATAAAGTCACTATCTCCTTACAATAAAATCGCGTGAAAAACAAACAAGTTAATATCATCACACGATATTAATAGTTCTAAACTCTTATCCCTTATTTCTTAAATCATATTAATAATTTTAAAATCATATCAATAACTCAAGAAAAACGAATTTTTAATGCGAGAACGTTTCCATTAAAAGGCGAAATAGCAAAAACACTATGTTTGCATGATCCTGGAATGAAAAACTGACTAGGTTTACAATACTCTATGAAACCTGTCACAAAGTTTTGAAAATTGCAGACTCCCACTTCGGAACTATCAAAGTTCCCTCTGCCTTACAAACAAACATATGCTTTAAAACTCTAGGAACTAAATTTACTGGAGGAACAACCCAATTATTTTGATTTCCCCAGTTATAAGCAAATGCATCAACCCCAGACGTACCAGGACACCAGAATTTTGAATAAAAAACCTTCAATTTATTGTTTACATTGTTTGCGAACCAGTCGACTGTGAAGGGATCCCATTTAGCATTAAGAAACTTAAAAATATGTTCCGATACGCCCAAGTCGTCCCAATCAAAAATCTTACTCGCGTCGTCTGCTTCAAAATTCAAAATTCTAGGAACCCAGGCGATTTCTAACAGAATACTGCGCTGAACACATAAATCGAAAAATTTTCTAGCAATAGTTTGCAAAGGACCCTTTGTACTACCCTGATTAACTATTCTAATAACGTTTTGGTTATCAGAGTATATTTTCACGAACCTATTATATAACTGATCAGAAAACGTTTCGATTGCAAATTCTAAAGCTTTCATTTCCCTCCAAGTTGAACTCATAATACGATCATCCACTTTAAACATATAATGAGCAACTTGATTGGTGGAACCTAGTAAAATACCTGCTCCTGCAAAATCACTAGCGTCTACAAAAAGAATACGCTCTGGAATCCTGTAAATAGGCATTACTGATCTAAATGTTAAATTTGACAAATTATTGAGCCAGAATTTCAATTAATTAACAGAATCTTGATCAAGATATATACGACTATCCCACGTTAATCTGTTTACAATTGGTACATGTAGATGTCTGGTCATGATATTACAAATATTACCAAAACTAAAGGACATTGAAATAATATTTCCTACTACTTTTGCTAAAAAACGTGCAGTAATAATAGTGTCAGATTTGACGCAGTTAATCAATAACTGTTTCAATTTATCAATTTTCCTAGAGGGTATCTCAACGGTACCTTTATACATGTTCCAAATAAACCCTAGCCATTCTATAATCAAAGTAGGTGACCAAATACTTTTCTCCTCATTTACAAGAAGACCTGCCTTGTGTAAATCCGAACAAACCCGCTCGCTAACCCACTGACAGACTTCTGGAGAATCAGTACCCCACCCGTCGTCTAAATAGACTATGATTTTTATCCCTAGGGTTCTCCAATACTTAACAAGCGGCCTTAATAATTTAGTAAAAATATAAGGCCCCGAACTTAAACCAAAAGGTAGAACAGTGTAGACATAATATTTGTGACAACCGTTATCTTCCCACGAAAAACCTAAGAATTTGTGAAAGTATTCATTAATACTAACGTGATGATAACCCGAGCGTAAATCAAATTTGAACATGAGATTGCCTTTTTTACAAAAATGTAATGCTTCTTTGCAACCCTCGAATTTAACTTTAAAATCATGTACGAATAAATTTACATGCCTGAGATCTAAAATTAATCTTTCTTTGCCGGTTGAGTTAACAGACACGGTTAACGGATTTACACAGTATGGTGCATAGTGCGTTTCTTTAATGCATTTCTTAACCAAAAGTTCTGAGATAGCTTTACTCACGAATTTAGAGTGTTTTAAAGCTGACGCGTTATTTTTAAGAAAAACGGGAGAAGGTTCTGTATCAAAAGGTATCTTATAGCCATTTTTTTCTAATATCTTCAATAAAACAATTAACTTTTATCTCATTAACCCAGAAATCTACCTTATTTCTAAGACTAACATGTGGATGTAACACGTTTTGTTCACAAGAGTTATCAACATGTTTTGTACAAAAATACTCAACTGTATTACTTATCCGGCTCACTTCCGGCTGTACTTGATGACCTTGGGTGACCGTCGTAGCCTGAGAACCGGGGAGGAACTGTACTCCTCTGGACGTAAGGGCAGGCTTTGGCGTAATGTCCTCCGAGGTGACAGATGAAACAAGACCCGAGCGGGAATCGCTGTTGCTGGCTCGAACCTCCGACATAACCCCTTGGCATAACTGTCGCATTTCCTGGCGTAAACCAACGAAAGGACTGCTGTTTATAAGTAGGCGGTTGAAAAGGCTGCTCAGATGAGAACTGTCGCTGCTGTCTCGACCCTGACTGGGCGTAAGGAGAATACCTACGCGCCTGGGTAGCACGTGTGATGGCCCCGCGCAGTTTAGTAGCATCATCATCGTTATCGGCCAGTGGACTGGCATCATACTCTTTAACAGTAAGCCAACCATGCTTGTCGGCTATCTTTAGCAACTTATTACGATGCTGAATGTCTTTAATGTCTTGTTTGACCAGTTCTTGAATAGAATCGAAGCTACGTAGATTGCAGAAATTGTCAATTTTTTGCAAAGTGTCTATTCTATCAACGTTAAAATCAAACTGAATTTGCAAACCTTCACTTTTGAACTGGAATTTATCGGCCGGCGATTTCTTTGCTGGTGTCCCAATTCTAGCTTCAATTTGGTCCAAAATGATATCACGCTGTCTGTCTAAAGCCCTCTCTAAAGTTGTATTAAACAATGAAATTTGCTCCGAATTGGACAAATCAATACTTCTGCCTGGCCTCGTGGGCGATTTTTCAATGTCATCCATTATTAATTAACTGAACAAAAGTAATGTTACTTGTACAGTAGCAAACCTCGAATGTTTGCGGTTTGCTACTTTTTATTTCTTAAAGTCGACAATATTTTCTCATAGCAATACATGAATAATAACGTATTTTATCATGTAATAAAGACAATATATATCTCCAAAGACAAATATTCAATCAACATAAATATACAGATAATTGAGCTATGGGAAAGTTTTGTTACAACATAAAGCAACAATCTCACTTATTTAGACCTTAAATTAACTGAACAAAAGTAATGTTACTTGTACAGTAGCAAACCTCGAATGACTATTTAGCCGCGAAATACGCACAAGAAAAACGAGAACTATTCATACCAAATACTTTTAAATACCACAAAGCAAAAACTAGAAAGTACCGAAAACAATATTTATTCTTTTCATTTCCTTTTTATTTTAGTTCTTGCACATTAGTTCCATATGAATAAAAACTAAGAACATTGAAATGCTTGCGTTTATGGGGAGACCATATTGTGTGCCTTGTGCGTCGTGTAATCATTACATCATGGATTTATTTCAGTAGATTTTTACCTTACCCTTTTAGGTCAATTACTTATATCTCGATAATTTAATAGACATATCGTTCATTAAGGTGTTTCTTTTTTGTTTGGATGTTTCTTATTTTCAAGGCTTTACCTTGAGCTCTCTTTTTGCTCAAACATCGTTTCTTCTGCATTTTGTCTCTTTCTGTTACGATATAATACACCCTGTAGATTCAAAACCCGGTCCCAAAATGGAAATTTATGGGTTTTTTTGTGTTTTTTTTGTTTGTTTTTTTTTATTTTGTTTTTTTTTTTCAAATTGTATCCAAGTTGTAGATAATGTAAGTATTATTTAATATATCATAATATATCATATTTGTTTCAAATCTTATGAAAAGAATTTACGCTGCTCTAGTAAAGGTGGTTCGTTTAAAGACTTGATAAGATTTTTTTAATGTGTTTTACTACCAAGGAGACATTGTTTCTTACTTTATGCTTTTTCTGTCCTAAAAAATTATTTAAAAATAGTTAAACCTACATTCAAAAACAACGTCATAAAAGTAGTTCCGGATCACTCAAAATCAAGTTTTTTTTCCGTTTATACATGTATATACATATTGTGATTTTTTCGTAGAAATGCAACATATTGTTTTATATGTTTAATTTATGTGATTCTGGTTGTCTAGATTCTGATTGGCTACACACACTGTATGAACGTTGCCCTTAGTTGTTATGTTATTTAAAGAAAACCTTCCATAGCTTCTAACATTCAAGTAAAGCTACGTTGACTTACATAAAATTTAAAGACACTGAAGTGTTTATAACCCTATGTTTAGTTTTTTGTAACAGGATGAATATTTTCATACCGAAACAAAAAAGTACCAAAAAAGTGAAAGAATTTTCTTTGTAAATATTCGATATTTTCAATAAAGCGTGTGGCGCGTGTGCAAAATTATACTAAACCTTATCACCGCGGATAAATACTTTGATACTGTTTTCCTATAATCTATAGATCTAGTGTTTTAAATAATAGATGCATTTGTTGTTAATGTTAAAATTCGCTTCAGATCTGAAAGAAACACATAAACATTCCTCGACATTACACCTACGGAGATATATCTACTATACACCATTACTAGCATTAAATAATATTTTGTTTATTTTCTCTGTGATGGAGATATATTCCTTTAAACAATATTATTATCAAAATTAACCATCATAAATCTTTTCAAAAGACAATGTATGCTAAATAACTTGACATACAGAATGACAACAACACAAAATGTTTTGTTTTTTTTTCATTTTGTTACAATCATTATGGATATGGACGTGAAAACCTTACAACAGAATTGCATGTACACTAAATAATAAATTTGTTTTTCGATCTCATTAATGTCCCTGATATTTTTAACATCGCGTGCCTCCATTAATTCTTTCATATCACAAATGTTATGTCACTCTGATGAAAACATATCTTATACCATTACTGTTAATTTGAGTGTAAAGATAGATGCACTGAAATACAATAACTCATTGAAGCCACAATGATCTGGACAATCTTTTATTGGTTATGTTTGTTTTTGATGTTACAAGTAAAGACGAGCATATGGAAAGTTTACTCTTAAATATTCATTCTTGCATTTTAAAAGGAGCTTTCAAAAATTAGTTGGTATAAAAAAATTCAAAATTTTAAAATTCAAAATCACAGTTTTTTTCTTTTTCCTTATTTTTCTATATCAACTGTTTGATAGATGATAAAACCCCCTCAATTTGTTGTCTAATGCTTGTTGTGTAAATTCATTACGTTCAGTTCTCAGTAACATTTTGTTTATAAAATAAAACCCTGGAAAAAAACCCCTCATAAAAGTTCAACTTCTTAAAGTTAAAAAACATTCTATATCCCATTTACTTTCGAGTTCACCGCTGTAAAATATCTAAAATTATAACTATAAACGTTCTTTTTTAAAGTCATTTATCACTCCTTTTTATTAATTATTATTATCATTTTTTTAATTATTGTTAGACTGTGTATTACTCAGAAACATTTTATTAATGGAGTTGTGTTGAGTCTGATAATCGTTTTGATTTTGACTCATTTTACAATATAAATCTGTTATCAAATCGAAATGCGTATGGCATAATTAAAAAAACATATCAACAATATTACCACTGGTTACAATTAATATCAGAAATACAATCCAGCTATCGTTGACACTTATTCACTTAAAATGCCAAAACACTGCATCTAGAATAAACTATACATAATAGTTTGATATACGGTACTTTTATATCTGTAAGCACTTTACAGCCTTTCCTGATAAAATATCCACATTATTACATAAAATATTGATGACGTTAATTTATATTAGTGACAATTTTTATAGGAGACATCATTAAAGTAGGCGAGAGTAGATTTATAACGGTATTTCCATGGTGTTTAAATTGAATATTGGTGTTAAAACATTTCAGCAAAGTATCGCTTTAGGAAAATGTAACAAAAACATGACTGATTCATTGTCGTAATTACAAAATTTCAGCAGAGCTCTGGAGAATTATAATTAGTGAAGTTTATTTATTACTCGTTAAACTAATGATGCTTTTACAATTGAACAATATCTAAACCGTAGGAGATGAACGATTAATGAAGTGAAAATAATCGTTATAACATAAACTGTGTCCAAACAAAATCTATCATTTTGTGGCAGCACTTATAGTTTAAAAATAAATTTTACAAAGTAGATCCAATATGCATTTCATGTAATTAAAACTGACAATTTGCAATACAGTTCCGGTGAAAAATTTAAATTTTAAAAAATATTTTTTGCAAAAAGTGACCCAAAAAAAAGGGAAAATCAAAAATAAACAAAAAAATTAAAAACGCTTAGAAAATATTTTTTATTGTTTATATTAAACCTGTATAAAAAATTTCCGTACAGGCCCTATTTTAAAAAATAAAAAAAACCCAAACTTAAAACCCTCTGATCTTTTAAAATTTAAAGTTCGCCATTGCTTCCTCGTTGAGGGAAAACAATTTTTCCTTTTTGGCCCATCCGCCCCCTTGTTTTTGGGAATTTGGCCAAAGGAAAAGTAACATTGAAGGTTTCATAAATTACCCCCTTTTTGGGGAAAAATCTGGGGTGTTTTCAAAAATTCGAATTTTTCCCCCAGTTTGTTGGACGTTGAATTCTGCTTAAAAAGGGTGCAAAGAGGCCCGTTATTTTTAAAACCCTTTTAACCGGGTTTTAAAAAAAACCGAGCCTGTAAAATTTCGATTTTTTCGTTTTGGACGTTCTTTCGGAATTCCGTTTTTCTCTTTTTTATTTGCATGTCTTTATTAAATGTATACATTAACATGCCCAAGTATGCATTAACATGTACAGGTCTACATTAACACGTACACGTTAACTTAATAAATAAAACACTATCCCTTTAACTTGTTTTTCTTTAAATTTTTCATAAATTTTTGATTTACATGTTTTAAATTTATAATTCAATGCATAAATCTCATAAAAAAGTGTATAACATGTACCAAAAATTGCTTATCAAAAGCACAAAATTTAAATTTTAATAGTTACATTCAAAAAACTTTTTAAAATTTTCCAAAAAATATTAAAAGTTAACATTAACATGCATAAATCTGCATTAAAATGTACAAGTCTACTTTAAAATGCTCAAGACAACATTAACATGTACCAGATAACGTTGACGTATACAAGATAAAATAAATATTATACAAGTCTATATTAACATATGCAAGGCAACATTAAACATATGCAAGACAGCATTAACATTATTCAAGTCTAAATTAGCATTAACCGGTCTCCAACAAATGACATATTCCAAAGCCCATTAAACTCTTAATGCATTATTGATTAATTGTATTATATATCAGATTTAACATAAAGTGTTATGTAAGCTTTCAGACTCTTTTCTATTTTAAAGTACGCTGCCGAGGTCTCGGGCTTTATGAAATCAAAGGAAATTGAAACGATTCATCCTAAATATTGTAAAATGATATTAAATGTAAATTAAAGTTGCTGTAGACTGTGAACTTGCAAGTTATCCTTACTATATTTCAAAATATGTTAAGATTTTAAGATTTTGGTTTATATTGCTTGAGACCACCATTCCTAAAATGGTATATAACATTGCTTTTGTTGACTGTAATAATGGTAAGAAAAATTGATTATCTAATCTTAAATTTTTATGTAATCATGGTTTTATGATATTTGGGTTTTCTCAGATTCAGTAAAAGAAAAACAATATTTGTACGGGGTAATTGACTGTTTATTACAAAATTGGCTTGCTGGTAGAGCAGTTCTGTTTTGTATCTGTATAAACATGTTGATTTTTTTTATATATATGAAAATTATCTCGAAATAATACCCAATACTTAAATGAAGTATTTTACACAAATTAATTTATCTTCGCATTCATTTAGCGTATATTAATTCACCTGATAAAATCGATTAAATCTTGTCAGTGATAAAGTTTTTTTATTTTAATCAAGTTAACCTTTGGT